ATGCCTATTTCTTTTCTTTTTTTTGCAAATAAAAACCTGAAAACTATGCTGCTTTTCTGTATTTCTGTCATCCGCAGACAAACTGCCCTGTCCAAGCAAAAAAGAAAAAAAAAAGGGCTCCCATCATGATGCTGCCTCTGTGATGGGAATGGTTTAGTCAGGATGATGTGCATTGTAAGATTAGGATATCCTTAATCTAACCCTGCACTGTGTTTTTTAAGTGGTATTTAAATAAATGGAATAATGCTTTATTACTTTTATTACTTTTTGCAGCAGTTCAGTACTTTACTATATTATGTAAAGTCCTAATAAAAAGCTGAACAATGACCCAATCTGGAAATTCTGTATACACATTTTCTCTCTGCAAACAGCATCTTTCTGTTAAAAGAAAATGTAGAGACTGTTTTTGTACATCCAAAGATTTTTACCCTGATCATAAACCTTGCTTTTGTTTTCACATTCTTTGCTACAATAAGCTTCAGGGATTTTGTGTTGTCCCTGGAATTTTGTTTCCATGTTTCATCGGATTACAATGTAGGATAAAAGTAACAATGAATTCAGGATTTATTTTTTTAAATGTCAGAAAGCTTTGATAAACGATTTGTAGCAGAGCTAAGTAGAGGGTTTAAGGCAATGGAGGATAATTTGTTGTCAAACCTGCAGAAAAGGTCAACTCTCTGTGACCTATAGTCTGTTGATGGTATCGACTCGCTACAAGTAGAACACTGATTCTGCGAGAGCTCCGAGTGACAGCTTTTTTCAAGCTCTAACTAGACAACAACACCCTCTAGTAAACATTTTAAGTTATTTGTTTATTTCTACAGCATTGAAATCCCTTCAGGTCATTTCAAAGTGAAAAAAATGAGAGGCTCTCTTGGCATGTTTTGCAGTGCCTGCTTGTGTAACTGATGTGACCTGTCAGGCAGGCTGCTGAAAGAACTGCCAGCCGCAATCTGCGTCAGACGAGCCGCTGCGCAAGCATCTGCTCCCTTGCCTCATATGACCGGCGTACCACTGGATCACCTGGCAACAGTGTTCTTTAAAGTTGCATTTTTTTTGTTTTCCATCTAACGTGGAAGTACAACATCACATTAATGTTTTAGGTGCAGATTTCTAACAGCCTGAGATGGAGGAGAGGTGCTGCTGCCGAGAGCTGGCTCTATGGATGGTGATCGGCGGCTCCCTGCAGCAGGGAACCAGATGGGTTACATAACAGTGACAAAGACCTTGCCAATTCTAACAAATGGATGATGTACGCACATATGGATGCATCTGATGCTTTATAATGTAATTAGCATTCATACAGCTCATGTTGTCATTATATGTGCATATTTACGAGTCATCTGCTGCATGTGACAGCTCATCCATAGCACCTGAACAGCATGTGTTCAGAGTTAGAGAAGAAAGTGTTGAAGAATTTACCAGAAGTACAAAACTTAAACAATAGATTTCACATCAAAACATATTTCAGTCCTCCATAATTATTAGCCCAGCAGGAAATATTTGTTGAAAAGAAAAAATAAAGGTCTTAATTTGCCAATGCTTTCTAAGCAATTATTTATTTTATGTATCTTAAGATCCATATTTCACAGAAAATCATTAAGGGCTGTTCTACATATACATATTTTGTTTCAGGTCAGATCCAAGTAAAATTTTGAAACTAAGTCTAACACTTTGTTTGAAATACTGTTTATTCTTTAGCAATTTTGAAATGGTTATCTGATGTTAAGAAAGGACTTTTTTTTTTACCGTATATGATTCCCCAACAATCACTTGGCATGTAGATTATGTCTAATACATTTAATGGAGACTTGTTGATTCAAATATGCAGATGTTTGTTTAATAACTTGTTTTTAAACCTCATTTACCGTCCTTTTCATTGTATGTGACAATTTTAATTTATTACTGTCACTGAATATTAAGAAACCAACAAATGTTTTCCTTAAATAGGAAGTCATCTTGTTATGGAAAATGTATCTATATTAGGAAATAAATAGTTCCAAAATAAACTGAACACCAACCAATTTAAAATGTTTGATTGTCACTTAAGATAATGTTATGTATCAATTTCTCTTTTGTTTCCTGAAATCAATGAAAGCTTTGAGTTAATAATCTCCGGCAACCATTACAAAATGTTATCACCTTATTGTCCTCCTTAATCCTTGGTTTCATCTAGCGTCATAATCCTCATCTCAAGTGATCTGAACTGCATGTCCATTTTTGGGCAACTAACTATTTCTCTTCCTGTCAGCCCTTCTTCCAGCCGGTCCCCAAAAGCACTGTAGGTGCTGAATCCACTGACTTATCATGATGTTTGTCAGCTATTCTCTGAGATAAGGGTGATTTACATGATGACAAAGTGATTTACATCACTGTCTTAGTTTTAGTGAGGATGTGGGCAGCAGCATTCTGGATCAACTGCAGCTTTTTGATCCATTATTTAGAAAGATATGTGAAGACATTGTTGCTTTCCTTATGTGCCTCAGATGGTTAAGGTCTGAGTCCATCATTACACCCAGATTTTTAATTGGATTGACTAAAGCTCTAAGTCATCGTTTTCACACTCTTCCTCTATTCAAATTAAAGGAACTATTACTTCATTTTTGTGTTGATATAAATGAAGAACATTTTGGCAAGTCGATGCATTAATGTCTACTATGAATTTATCCATTGCTTGAATGGGTTCATAATCACCTGGTGACAATGTAATTTATCACTGTATGTTGTCTGCTTAGTTATGCTAACTTATGTTGCTGTTTATTGATCTGAGTCAGGGCCAGCATGTAGATCTTCAATAGGAGGGGCCCTAAGAAGGACCCTTGTGGAATGCCAAATGAAATTTTTGTGGTATCTAATGTAAAATTATCTATTGACTTAGTCTTTGACAGATTTTATTTTGTCATTTTGTACACACAAGTGTAAACAAAAAGACATTTGGTGAAGTACAGCTCTCTAGACTATTTTTTTTAAGTGCAGGTAAGCAGCAGTGATAAAAACATTTTGAGGAAAAAAGTGATGTAAACATATGACAAATTTAACACAAAAAAGTGTCTGTCCTTCAGGCAGCATTTAAACCAATTAAATGCTGTACCAGAAACCAGAAAGCCCAACCCAGTTTTCCAGGTGCTCAAATAAGATTAAGTGATCGACAGTTTCAAACATCACCAAGACAGATTTTTCATTTAGTTAGTCACAGATAAAATTAACATAGTGTTTAAAAAATATATATATATTTTTTTAATTTGCACTTATGCTACCTTGTCCTATCTATAGGACAAATCAGCACCTGTTCCTCGTGACACACACCCCACACAAGGTTGTATTTCTATCCAGTTAATGCATTTATGCCTAAACCTAACCATTTACCTTAACCATTATCAGTATATTCCTAACCCTTATCTAAAATTAATCCACACTATACCTCTAAACTAACTCTCTAAGGTTAAAAATGGGGTCCACTGCATTAGGACCAGCCTTGGGTCCCCAGAAGGCCTTATGGTCCTCAGAAAGTTAGTAAATATACCCAAAAAACAGTCCTGAATAGGTAACACAAACAAGTACACACACACTGTTTAATTGAGATATCTAAAAAAAAAAAATGCAGTGTAAGGTTATTGATTAAAAAGCAAATCTTATTTTGAGTTTTTAAACATTCTTTACTTAATATCTTTTTAAATTGGCTTTTAAATATATT